TCCATCACAGACCTGAATAAATTGAGTCCGCGGTGAATCAAGCCTTCCGAGTAGAGCTGCTTTTCTTCTCGGCCACCACACATAACTGTCAGAGCTGTTCTGGCGGCTTTGAGCCCTGCTTCAACATCTGGTAGCTGCTGAAGCCACATATTAATTTCGACCTCACCCCACGAATGCTCGACCTTGAAATCCATGCCTTCAGTATGCTTCAATGAAGGATCGCAAAGATTTTGGATGTGGATCAGATCATCGACGGGCACGAGTCGAAAGCATCCCAGATCGACAGTCCTTGCCATCAGTTTGAGAACCCGATTGTATGCCGTAACAGTCATTGTCGCTTCTTGGTCGCCACTGATCACAACCCACGGGCTAGCATGGTTGCCACGCATTGCCATCACTTCTGCTTCGAATATTTCCATTACTCCTCTTTGTAGTTCTCGTAGAGCAGCCTCTGCTCGATCACGATTATTAAGGCCACCATCAAGAAGGTTCTCGTTTTCATCAAGCTCAGCCCGCTTTTGCTTCTTTCCGGAGAGATGGGCAGGTATATCTTGAGAATCATCTACGATTGCGAAATCTACTTTATTGAACGTAGCGGGTGGCAATTCAATACTGATTCCACTAGTGCTTGAGACTTGAAGCGGCACACCGGTAAATATGGTTTGATTTGGAGGGGCAGCGTTGAAGTGCGTCTGAGGTTGAAATTCAACTGCACTGTGAACACTTGCAGCTGCCAGTCCTGGATCCTCTTTTTTTAATAAGTAGTCCGAATCTGGCTCAACTTTAAGTTGCTTTGATGAGTCGGATTCTTCCTGGGGTTGAAGTTGTGGCGCAGGGGCAAGCATTAAATCGGCAGGGGAGATAGTCTGCGGATGCGATGGGGTTGAAGATGGCAGTGTACTGTCCAGTGACCTGTTGGCATCGAGCTCCTTCTTGCTTGGTAGATGAATCTCAATTCTTGAACCATTCTTCACTGCTGTCTGCGCGTTTGCAACGGCTGGGTTATGTTTGACAACCTTTGGCGGCTCATGCTTGCGCACCTTCGGCGATCTTTTGGCAATCTTGGATACCATGTTTTGGCCGTTAGCACTGGAACCGTCGGCGCTGTGTGTCGGCGCTGATGAGTTTGTTGGAGCAGGGTAGTGGAAGCTGATATTTGTACTGTTGTATATCATCCGTGCAAACGGCGATAGCGTGTGGGCAAGACTCTTACGGGAGCTATCACTTGTCGTCTTAGCCTTGGGCGCGGTCTTGAATTGGCTATACAAGCAGGTTCGGTTAGCAACCACCACAATTATCCGGATCTTTAGGATGAGCGGAACCATATCCTCCACAGAAAATGGAATCGAGTGGCCATGCAGGCCACGAGTTTGACATACAAAGAGCTAATGCTATCTGGCTTCAACAGGTTCTGCACATATTCTAGGCTGCCCTCGAGGCGTTTGGACTGGTTTGGATTTCGTGCTTCTCTATTCAAGACGTCATAGTCCTCGCGTGATACCAATCCAGCCACTGACGGCAATATTTGGCCCGAGCCGATCGTAGGGTTATTGATGATATCTGGATATTGTTTAGGCTTAGCTAATGTTCTGCTTTGAAAGGTGCTTGAAACAAAAGGAAGGACTGGCAATGAGGAACGTTGAACGGCCACAATACCCCGCCTAGACCTCCGGGACTGTATGAAAATCTCCAAAATAGGTGGTCGCAGAAGGTAGGGGGGAAGGTGCGACTGTGCTTTCACTCACCCGACTCGAAAGGAAAGAGTGAAGTAAACGGCGTGTAGGGCAGCGCCTCGTCCAAAGTGAATGGACGCTGGCGGCCCGAGATTTGGTTGTCGGCTAGACTATGCATCTCATGCTGGGGTTGGAACTGGCTCTGCCCCAGGCTCTGATCAAAACGTGGTTGCTGTTGAAGAGCACTAGGGTTGATAAACTGCGCCTGTTCGAAAGGGATCGCCGTGCCATTTTGATCGCGGTTATTTGGATGGTCCATCTTGTGCACCTATCTCATGTCTCCTTTGCGAGGAGACTCTAAGCTAACTTTGTTGTAAATGTATCAAGCACATCACATAAGACCCTCCCCACCGTCTGATGATCTGAGGGACAAGAATGATGTTGGCCATGCGCTGGTACGGCGTCGACAGCGAGCGTCGGCTTAGGGGGAACCGTGGGTCTGGAAGCGATTTCGAGCACCGAATTCCAAGCTCAATTTTGCGCGGAATCGAGTGAAATGGAACACCAGAGCGGGAGCGGGCCGGGTACGCGTGATCGTGGACGGCGAGTCGGAAATGTTGACGTTGCGATGCCTCGGAGATACTGGGCTCAGTTGAGGAAGTTGCGACAGCCTTGCGCTGTCACTGATCAAATCATAGGCCGCACCTGCCACAGACCCCTGGTGCTTGTACCTAAGGTGACAGGGATTAAGCTATGATCCGTGCACGTCCGCTGTTTCCCCGAGCTTCTTATCTGTATTGAATCAATTGCATCGAGGCCGATAACAACCTTGGAGAGACAGCTTCGGCAACTTTTTTTTTTTTTACCAGTCCTGAATTTTTTTTGTCACGTCGACGATCAGTTACCAGGCGCATTGAACTTTTGTCGCTATCAAACGATATCCAGCAAAACACCCAACCAGTTGATTTCCTCAGCCCCTGTTGGACTTAAATTTGGGGGTAAAAATGACTTCAATTGGCTCTCTTGTGTTTTGTGTCGACTGCGGAAACCTTTTACCAGCGTCAAAGGGATACGAAAAGAATATTTTAAAATGCGAATGCTGCGGCGCTGATAATCAAGGTTGGTTTATACGAGACCATTACTAACATTCGTGCTGAAATGATTCCAGATTCGAAACTGAAGACCATCGTAACCAAGAGCAAGCCATCCGATTTCCCATCGCTGCTCCGCCAAAAGCTCTCGACCGTGCAAACCGTTGCACGACACAAGGTGCAAACCGAAGCCCTTATCCAAGAAACATGTGAAAAGTGTGGGCGGAAAGAAGTCAGGTTTTCAGCTGTTCAGCTGCGTAGTGCAGATGAAGGCAGTACAAATTTTTACACTTGCGAGTGCGGTCACAAGTATGCAACTTCTCACCTTCCCAGTTTCTGGTGCCATATATGTTGCTAACTCATTCTAGATGGAGCACGAATAACTAAAATCTTGACGTTGTGACTAATATACCGTCACACACAAGGTACATATTTATCATTTGGCCATCCCATCGTTGGATGGAATCAGAAGTAAAGCATAGATAGTATTTTTTAGGCGGGGATCTGATCATCTTACTTGCACGACAGAGACATGCTATCTGCTCCAGTCGCATATATGAAGGGCCAGGATCATACCGCCACAGCCTTTGACGTCTCCGGAATCAGGGCATATTCAACCTGATCACTCTGCTCATAGTCTACCATGTCTAGCGCGACAATAACACTGTCTCGTACCACCTTCTCTTTATCGTGAAGGAAGTGCTTCAGGATATCCTCCACACCTTCTTCCTCCCCAAGACTGCCCAGGGCTTCCGCGGCTTCATGCCGGACCATACTGGCCTCCTCTACATCACTCAGGGCAGCTGTTAAAGCGGGTATGGAGGCCGGGTGAGATAGTTGGCCGAAAACGAACGCGATCTCGTGACGGAATAAGGCGGATGAATCGGCAAAGCCCTTCGCGAGCGCAAGAACAGCAGGTACAGCTGTTGGGAGATCTGGAGGTGAAGCGAGGTCACGAAGGGCGAACATTGCCCGATAACGTATGAATAGTGGAGCTTCGGTATCCATCAACGCCTTTTCGAGATCCTCTACTGTCTGCGATGACTCGGGCATAGGAGGGGCAGGGTCGATGGAAACAAAGTCGCTAGAGATAGTTAGCGATTTTGTTGAACATTCGCGGGGTTAATGAAATCATGTAAAGACTCGAGAAATAAGTGTATGTAGGACTCAATTCCATTGGGCATAATTGCAACATACCTCTGGTGCAACTTCTCTTTTTTTCTTGCCTCAGAATTTTCCCACTCTATGCGGTCAATAGCAATTTCACAAGTCTCTGTAATGACAACATCTTCCCCTTCTCTGTCCCGAAACTCTTTCAAGATGTCTAGATCCCCTGCATCTCCGAGGGCTCCCAGCGCCTCTGCTGCCTCATGCCTGCACATAGGATCCTCGGTCACGTCCGCCAACACCTTGCGGAGCGGTGCGCATGCTGCCAAATTGCCGGACTGGCCCAGACAATAGGCGAGCTCGTGCTTGAGGAGAGCAGATGGCGACGGGAAAGCGGCCGCGATGGCTTCTATTGCTTGCAGGGAGTCGTCGCCGGTTTCATGTCGGGCGAGGTGCTTCAACGAGAAGAGAGCGCGAAAGCGGAGGGGCAGAGGGGTGGCTTCGGAAACCAGCGATTCGCGCAGCGTCTGGATCGTCGCTGCCACTGAGGGCGAGGGGTCCTCGTGATCCATGTTTTGAGGTTTGGGAGTTCAGCAAAAGTCTTCAAACCCTTGTAGATGCTTTGAAATGATTTTGTCGGAAGAAGATTTTAAAACTAGGCATCCGCTACTGTTGCAGTGGAAGAGAAATTCGTACCTGAAGGGCTGTAATACACCCCTCTCCGCTTGAAAGCGAGCAGCTTTTTTTTTTTTTTTTTTTTTTTTTTTGCTGTCGCCTCTTTGCAACCGCTTGATGGCGGGGCTTATCTTATCAATCTCATCAGTCAATATTCCTACGGTACAGTGAGCCTACAGGATGTAAAGTAGCACGATCCGGGAGTTTCAAACGGAACGGATATGCAAATGAGTTGCTGAGCAAAGCGCTGACAGAACAATCATTGTTTCAACCAAAAGGGAAATAAATCATACAATGAATATATTTGCAACCATATATTTACAGGAGTTTACCCAAGTCTAAATTCGGACAGTTCTACGATCACTCAGCAATCGGCATTATATCGGCAAATCTTAACCTTGTCTCTTAGTTTTGTATAAGCCAAGATTTTACATCTTCTGTCTTGGAAGGTTCAGGCGAACTAGTGTAATGGTCATCACAGCGGATTCTGATTCCGCTAATCTGGGTTCGATTCCCAGGTTTGCCTTCTATATTTTTGGATCGACGATCTAGATCCAATTTCTTTTTGGCCGTGTTTGCAATGCGCCAAAACCTTATATCCTCTTTCCGTACCACTTCTGGTTTCGCACAATCCGATAGTCGGCCAATGCCTCATCCCCAGGTGCTGAGTTCGTTGCAGTACGTACTGAGGGGGGATTGTCCCCAACCATTTCCACCAGACACTATCGTAGTCCACATGCATCCGTAAGTCGTCGTCGCCCGAAATGGAGCTCCCGTAGAAGGAGGATCTAATTAATGGAATTTGTGAGAGAAGCAAATCGATGAAATGCGTTGGAATTGTCATACGAAAGTGTACTTTTTATAATTAGAAATGTTTACATCCGAGTCTGTAATGTTTGCACAAGCGTAACTTAAGTTTTTACTAAGATTTGGTCGCTCCCCCCACTAAATGGGAAACGCTTGGTTTACATGATGCGTCACGAATGGGCCGAGGGACATACCACCATCAACTAGAGATTTTCTTACAAGCAGAGTCCACCTGCGGTGTGCTGACCTCTTCAGCTTAACGCTCGACAGTCTCATCAGACCGAAGGTCTATTAAATATACCTTTATTAATGCATTCATCAATAGTACGACTTCTAAAACCAACCACAAATATGGCGCTCCATGCTGCAAACGGAAGTGCCAAACTAATTTGTACGTAAAGCAGAGGCACTTCGCCTCCCCTTCTTAGCTCTGCATATTGCACCTACACCACGGCTGACTTATTATGATAATGTAGTTGCCCCTGCTGGCAAGGAGCTCCAGGGTCAGGCTGCCCAGTTCACAAAAAACACGCTCACTCGAGCGGACCTGGACTCTGCATCGCCCATCCGCCAGTTTCACGCTTGGTTTGCAGCGGCGCAGCAGTCTGATAATGTGTCGCACCCGGAGACGTGCACTCTGTCGACGGCAGCGCTGCCATCTGGCCGCGTGTCCGCTCGCATGGTCTACCTTAAGGAGCTCGACCCGAAGGGTTTCGTCATCTACAGTAACTTTGGCACCAGCCGCAAAGCCGCCGATCTCGCCACGAACTCCTGGGCCAGTCTCACGTTCTGGTGGGAAGGCCTAGAGCGCCAGGTCCGTGTCGAGGGCAAGGCCAGCCGGCTGACGCGCGAGGAGAGTCAGGGGTATTACGACACTCGTGTCAGGGGCAGCCGCCTAGGGGCGTGGGCGAGCCGGCAGAGTCAAGTGTTGAAGCCCGAGGCCGGGGTGACCGGCGAGGAAGGGTTGGCTGACGATGGAAGGAAGGAATTAGAGGATTGGGTGAGGGAGACCGAGCAGAGATTCCAGGGGGAGGAGCATATTCCTGTCCCGGACTTCTGGGGCGGGTTACGCATCGTTCCGGAGTCGATTGAGTTTTGGCAGGGGCGGGAAAGTCGGCTGCACGACCGGTTCGTCTACACAAGAAAAGAAAAGGGGGAGGACGAGTGGACACTGGAGCGACTAAGCCCCTAAGTAGAGTATCATTCAGGTACCCCCAGGTAGAAGCAACACGGAGAACGAGAACTCATGCCTTGAAAATCGACAAGTCCTCCGTTATGCAGGTTATTAAAGTCAAGTCTCTAATATGTAGCAAGAAGAGTAAGTACATACCTGCACACATTCTTGCTTCCTCCTGCAGTAACCGTTACTATGTAACTCCCCAGACCGCCAGAGACGGAGAGGTCGACTGCCAACGCAAAGGAAGAAAAAAAAAACTATGGCCACGGGACTGCTGTAGCTATGAAGAGCCTCTTAGCTTAACTTCGCACACCCAATCCTATTCTCATCCATCCGGCAAGGGCGGGAACAAGTAGACATTATGGACGTAGTGTAACGTCATCAGACTCAGCGTGATTATCTTGAAACCTGCACAGTAGATATATAATTTTCATATTTGATTGCTAAACCAGACTATTCCTATCACCTTGAGTGGTCGGGATTCAGGCGCGCATCATGTCTATGCAGAGATGCAGCCTGAGCCAGTGCAAAGTCGTAATTGCAGAGGGAAGGGAGGGGGCGCAGCCTTGAATTTCTTCCTGGTTTGTAACCCTACAGCCAGTAAGTTGCCATACCGTCGCGTACAACGGTGGCGTGGTCTTGGTGGAAGGAGGATCGGCAGCACCCATGGTGTTTGTATTCCCCGAGTCCACAGTGAGGCATCCAATTGCTCTGCATGTATTTTTCTGGGCCCGGTTTCTAGCTGGTTAAACACAAAGCTTATTAATTCCCGAGATGATTTCAGGTGTGAGGGCCTGTTCTGAAGACCGACAGTCGTTATTCTCACTGGTGCCGCATATTTGCCACTCTCTTATGGTCAACCAACTCAGGGGCCAACCAAATCCAGGAATTGATTCTGATTATCGCAAGTGAAATCCTTCTACTTCATAGGACCTGATGAAACTATACATTTCTCAAGGCTGGTTGGGAACTTGTCTCTACCTCCCCAGTTCTACTGTAGTCTGTGCCAGCTCAAAGTTTTGCACTCTCAAATTGGGCATAATCGTTCCCGGCGTATGTAGACAACGTTATCTGGGACAATGACACGATGTAACTGGACATCAATTGAATTTATAGCGTGCAAAGTTACTTCAGCCCTTAACTATGGGTTGAATTTCGGATGTGACGTCGGATCAAGGCAGCATGGGATAACTAGGTCTTTAAAAGCGTGCATGGTGGCCTTGTGCTTAGCGTTCATAAGGCAACGACTTGCCGAGTCTACATTTCCATACTTGACTTACATAGACCGGGTTGTAGCATTGCAATAAATACAAAATTCCTAGTCAAGTGACTTTTTCTTGGTAAGATAAATACACTGGCTTGAAAAGTTGAGTTAGTTTCCAGTGCTCAACATTTCCAAGCTCCAGCTATCAGTTGATTCCAGTGGATCCTGTATGAGACCCAACATAGTTTCTATATCGGTCAGCAGTGGTGCCAAAATAGCTTTTACCTGCTATCTTTTAGACCTTCTAAAGGTTTGACCGGTGGGCAGTTCTAATGGGGGGGTGACATACTGCATCAGCAGCTAGAGGTGGGGAGTCTCGGCCGGTTGGCTCAAGAAGTGCATATTAAGAAGGGTTATTCCCTGTACCAGTGCGCTTGGTGCTGGCATCGGCTCCAGGCAGGAACTGTTGGTAGGTAGTATCACCATGTCTTGCCTCCCAACACCATCGGGCACGCTACGCCTTGATGGATGACAAGGGATACTTTGAACCAATTGTACCGTAGAACAGCCACTCTGTACGAAGCAATAGTTGGAAGAAGAAAGCAATTTGAAGATACTTAACAACACAAATAGAAAGCTTAGTTCCAGTTACAGCCACTCCCAAGAGAATATTGGAGTTCGACTATACTAAGCCGCGATACCGTGCCCAGAAGCAGCAGCTAATCGGCCACGTGTGTATGTATTTACACCCGCTGTCTGCAGATATGTGCACTAGTAGAGTGGTGATCGTTGGGAGGTAACCTATGGATCAGCACTTCCTTGATACCCTTGGCAGCGCTTGATACTATCGTGAGGCATCCAAGGTGGCAAATAACAATACAACTCTCCTTTTCCCCCTAACTCCTACCGTTATTCTCGCATATCCTAGCAGCACAGTGACACAAGTTGTTATATACATGTAGTCAATCAGAAAACAGGATTGCTCTTCTACGTGGTTCCTGGTTCAGGCGAATGAAGTGACTGGGTCTACGCAAGCATTATTGGCTTGTTTGCTTCCGATTTGGGGGTTGCTTCTGAGCCCTCTGCATGTGCTGCTAGAGCCAGCGTTCTGGTCTCATTTGTCGGAAAAGGGGGGATTCCTAATCTCTTGACTTACATTAATCAAGACGCCGTTGATTCCACAGTAGTACATGTACATGACCGAGAAAGGCATTTATGGTCAATTGTGACGAGATGGTTTCCGCGACACCGTTCCATGAAGCTTCAACTTCACCGCGGCTATAACGAGGAAAACAAAAAGCCGCCATCCTCATCTAGCGGGTTTGTAGATCTGGAGGCAGCCCAAAGCATGCCTGATGAAGAGACAGATAATCATCCAGTTCTGTATGCTAAGGGCCCCATTTTCGCCCTCTCCCTACCGGTTACACCGCTTTAAGAGTACACGAAGCACGCGGAAACTGCCAGATGGCGTGGGAGATTTCTGAGACTGTCGTCAGTTTCTCCTCCCTCTAGAGGAATTGATTTGGACGCAAGAAATCTTTGTTTGGTTCCTTTTTCCTCTCTCCCTCCCACGCACACACACACACGTGTGCAAAAACAATGAGCACCTGATGCCTAAGAATGCGAGAAACATGTTTCTTTCGGCCTTGTCCGTGCCTCATGCCTTCTACTTAAGCAATGCAGCTGGTAGGAGGGAAAGCCCTTGCGGGCAGTGCAGGTGCTACAAGAGCGGTGAACACCTGTCATTTTGGCATGCACACTGGACTTGGGGCCTGAAGGTTCTTCGCAGCCAGCCGGCCGAGATAGAAGGACGCCATGATCTGCAGTCTGCAGGCAATCGCCGGGAGAAGCGAAGGTCGAGGGACCCCTGTCTCGTTCGAGACCATGAGGCGTCCGGCTCCTGCGTTGTAGCAGGCAGATTTATAATCGATCGGAATCTACATGAACTAGATATTGTGTCTCCCTGTCTGCTGGGAGCGCTTACATGCGCGTCAGGTCGGCGATAACTATGGGGCAGCCGGGAACCAAAGCTGATTCGCTCTGCATTGCAAGTGAGCACAACGTCTTACCAATGACGGGCCGCGCCAGAATCTTCTCGGTTAGGGGGCCTCCCGTGGATCCATAGAGGCAGGCTCCTGTTAGTTGCCGCTGCAAAGAAACGCAAATTCAACGACGACGCCAATGCTCTTTTTGCATGCTCCAGCATGCCAGTAAGCCCAGCCACAGAGGTCTTACTTGGCTGCATGCAGTAAAAGATCGACCGCTTACCGTCCGCATCGCTTCCACCATTTGTTCGAAAGCTGAAAAGAGAATGATTCTGCATGACGAAATTTGTTAG